ATCTCTTGGAGGTGTGTGAAGCCAGCGGCCATTACTGCGGGATTTGGGGGAGGAGCCAAAGGGAAAACAAGGTTTGTCTGCACCGCCCCATCTGTGGCTGAACACAGAAGCTCTCCCAGAGGCTGGCTGTCTCTAAGGAGGGGCTGGCCGGAATCCAAAGCTTGTCTGCGCCTTTACCAAAGAGGTGCATGTGCCTGCAACCAATCTTCCGAAACTCTCCAAGAACAGGACTTTTCTAAGGTGAGACTGACAGAGAACCAAAGATTGTCTGCACCACCCCAAGACCCTGCCCTATCCAAGTGGAGTACAGAAGCCCTCCTAGCTGAGACACTGCTGATCCTCACAGCCAATTGGCTTGGAGATCAACGCTTCCCAGTGAAACCAACAATAAGCAAGGCTTAACAACAAGACTGCACACACAGCACACATAGGGCTACACCAAGACTGTCCACCGCAGGTAACTGGGAAGGCTGTGCTACTGGGCTCTACCAGAACACCTAGCACACAAAGCTATTCCATCAAATCAGGGAAACAAGTAAAATGCAGACAAGAGAAAGGACACAAAGGAAGGAGATGGAGGAAAAGAAAAGATTGGACATTGAGTTCAAAACTACAGTTATAAGGTTATTCAACAATATCCTAAAAAAGGCCGATAAAATAAATGAGACCTATGAGGATATGAAAAGGGAGCAACTAGAAATAATAAGGGATCAACTAGAAATGAAGAAAACATTGTCTGAAATAAAAAATATTATACAAAGTCCTAAAAACAGACGAAGATCGCAAGAATCAAGACAAAGATTTAGAACACCAAGAGTCAGAAGACACTCCTCCACAGAAGGGAGAAGATAAGAGAATCCAGAAAGTTGAAGATAGTGTAAGAAACCTCTGGGACAATTTCAAGCGAACCAACATCAGAATTATGGGGATTCCAGAAGAAAAGAGAGAGCAAGATACCGAAAGAATACTGGAAGAAATAGTGACAGAAAACTTCCCCCACCTGGGGAAAGAAATAGACTTACAAGTCCAGGAAGCCCGCAGAACCCCAAACAAAAGGAATCCAAGGAGGCCCACACCAAGACACATCATAAAGAAAATTCCAAGAGCAAAAGACAAAGAGAGAATATTAAAAGCAGCAAGAGAAAAGCAGGTAGTTACCTATAAAGGAGCACCCATACAATTGTCAGCTGATTTCTCAACAGAAACCATGCAGGCCAGACGGGAATGGCAAGAACTATTCAAGGTGATGAATAGTAAGAACCTACAGCCAAAAATAATCTACCCAGCAAAGCTATCACTCAGAATCGAAGGACAGATAAAGAGCTTCACAAATAAAAAAAAAAGCTAAAAGAGTTCATCAGCGCCAAACCAGAATTATATGAATTGCTGAAGGGGGTTATATAGGAAGAGGAAGAAGATAAAGATAAAAATTATGATCAACAAATATGTAACTATCAACAAGTGAATCTAAAAACCAAGGGAATTAAAAAAAATCTGATGAACAATATTAACTGGTGAATATAATAGAATCAAAGGTATGGGAGTGGACTGACGATTCTCAGGGAAAAGGGGCGCAGGGGTACGGAAAGAGATTGAACAAAAATTGTGTACCTATGGATGAGGACAATGGGGATGGGGAAAGGACAGAGGGTGGGTTGAGAACCTGGTGGAGGGGAGCAATTGAGGGGGGGAAGAGGATCACATTTGTAATAATCTGAACAATAAAGATTTATTTAAAAAAAAAATAAGTTGAAAGAAATTCCTGTAGCTATGTTTCCCAAACTTCTCTCATGATGAGAATCACCTGGTGGAGTATTTAACACTTCTTAGTGGGGATTCAGGAATCTGTATTTTAACAACTCCACCAAGTGATTCTCATCATGAGAGAAATTTGGGAAACACTGCTGTAGCCAATTAATATTAGAAATTCATAATACATGTGTAATTATGTTAGAAAACAGATGTTCTCAATAGACGAAAATTAGTGGGCAAGAAGATGATTTTAGGAGGAGATAATCACTCTGAAAATCACTTTGCCTAAAGAATAGTCATGATACAAGAGGGCAGGTAGCTCTACACTCTTAAGTTTGCTAAAGCAGGGACTTAATTTTTTAAAAATATTTTTATTGATTTCAAAGAGGAAGAGAGAGGGAGAGAGAGAAACATGTAAGAGTTAAATATCAATAGGCTGCCACCAGGGATTGAGGTTAGGATTCTAATGGAAAAACTGGATAACATGCTCAACAAATGAAAATTCTAAAAATCAAAGGAAGTAAATAAACATAGAAGTTAATAGAAAAGAGAAACTGAGCAGAGAAATGGGATAAAAGCATTGACCAATTAATTACTGGTAGTTTTTAAAAGAGATTGTTCAATAATGGTTAGCAAAATAGAAAAGACCTAAATTAGGAAAAATTGGAGTGAAAATTTGATAAATTCATATTTCATGTGATTTTTTCCCAAGTAACACATGTATTAAGTCAAACCATTGTATACTTTAGTATCTGTCAAATTTTAATTATACAACATGGCTAACTCGAAATGTTAAGATTATACTACTTCCCTTCTCCCACCTAATTCTTTCCTTAACAGGTAATCTTCAATGAATTTGTCATTATTTAAGAAATTCCTATGGGAATTTTTCTCACACTCTCTCAGCTGAAAGTTGTATGACTTAAAAAAAAATACATGAATTCTATCTTGAGATTTTCATACCTTCATGTAAAAACAAAAACCAGAAGAGTAATCAGTCACTAAAGTACAAAATGATTCAGTCATTTGTTCAGTCAACAAATATTTATTGAACACCTTCTTTATTCTAGGCAATAGCAGTGATAAAACAAAAAAATCCCTGCTCCCATGAAGTACCCTAGCTTGAGTGAAGGCAGATTAACAAACAAGTATACCAAAAACCAAATAGATTTACTTGTTTTATGGAGAAAAATAAAACAATGTGGAGGAGGAAGTATTTACTTACACACACACACACACACACACACACACACGCGCGCGCGCGCTAGGGAATTCTTTGATAAGGTGACATCTAAAGAAAATGAGTCATGAGGTTATCTAGGGGTACAATGTTCCAAAAGACAGCAAATGTATACATTCTGAAGTGGGGAAATAATGTGCCTGATATTAATGTGGAACAATAGTGAGTGTAATTAATCAAGAGGAAGAGTCCAAGGTGAGATAATGTAAGTAGTGTTTCCACTCTGAGTGAAATGGGAGACAAAAGATGGTTTTGAAAAGAGCCAGTTATTACTAAAATATGGGTGTTGGTGAGACCATTTATGTGGTTACTGCAGTGTTACAGTGGCTTATATCGGAGTGGTAAGCCTGGATTTATTTTTCAGGTAGAAATGGTAGAATCTGCTGATGGAACGGATGTTAAAGAAGTCAAGGGTAACTCCAAGGTTTTTCACGAACTGAAAGAGAAGCTGCCATTTTATTACAGAGTTGGTTAGAAAATTAAGTGCCGTTTTGGATATAAATTTTGAGATGTCTTATTAACTTCTAAGGGCAAATATTTGCTTATTTAAATATTTGCTTTCTTGAGAGAGGTGTTGGCTAGAGATATAAACTTGTGAATCGCCAGTGTTTAGGTGATTTTTAAAGGCATCCTAATGAAAAAAGACTGACCCCAGCAACTCTCCAATATTTAGACACGGGAGAAATGAAGTACCAGCAAAATATTTTGAGAAAAATATTCATAAACCATGGGAAGAACAAGGAAGGGGTGGTGTTGTCCTAGAAACTAAAAGAAGTGATTGAAAACTCAAGAAGTGACAAGCTAGACCAGAGCTGCTGATGTGTGAGTTGAGGATGAAACAGACATAGCCACTGAATACGGCTGGGCAGCAGCTAACTGCTGTGGACCTTTATGAAAGCTCTTTCTTTCGCTGGAGTGGTAGAAGAGGCAAAAATCCTGAGTATCATATTCAAGAGAGAACGGCTCCCCCCCCCCCCCCCCCCCCAAATTCAACAAGTTCTGCTAAAGAAAAACTAGCTGAGCTGGAGGAGATTGGAGAGATGTTCCAAGTTTGAGAGGAGAGAAGGAAAGGGGCCTGAAGTCTGGGAGAGTGAACTCATCGGGGAACTTGAGCGGCACAGCAGGGCAGCACTAAGGGAACACTGGAACTTTTTCAGCGAAACAAGTCCTCCTCGGAGCTGTGTGCCTTTCTCCAGCCTGTCTGTCATTCACCTGTTGCAGGAACACTAGAAAGTTGTAAAAAGGAATGAGCTTTGCCGAAACCGGTTTGGCTCAATGGATAGAGCGTTGGTCTGTGGACGGAAGGGTCCCCTGTTCGATTCCCGTTAAGGGTTGCGGGCACATCCCCGGTGGGAGGTGTGCAGGAGGCAGCTGATAGATGTTATTCTCTCTCATGGATGTTTCTAGCTCTCTGTTCCTCTCCCTTCCTCTCTAAAAAAAAAAAAATCAATAAAATATATTAAAAAGAAAAAAAAAAAAGGAATGAGCTTTAGGGAAGGATGGTACAAAAAGGAGGTAGGAAAAAAAAACAACAAAAAACCGCGACTGCTTGGTGGCTCTCAGAAGTTGCGAGCTGGAACACCAAGACCCAGACGGCTTGTGGGCAACTAGCTTGAGACTGCAGAGCGGAGGGGGAGGAGTGCTAAGGTCGGTTCTCCACAAACGCGGTCTTTTCTCAAAGGGCGAGCCCAGCAGCAGGGGGCCATGTAGGGGCCCAGGAAGGAGAGGCACCGCCGCCTGAATGCTGTGGACTGAGCCCAGCTGCAGCCAGAGGTCCCTTCCTTCCCTCCGCGAACCCGAAGGCTGGACTCGGGTTTCCTCGCCGCCGGCACTTACGATCCGCCGCTCAGCTTCCTTAAGCTGTCCACCGGAGTGGTGGGCATGGTGGCGACCGTTTGGGGAGTGGCCGACCACCCCTGTCCCCGCCGGCTCCCGGAGCCCCTGCGCCCCGATCCGATCCCGGGCGTTAGCGGCCGCGGCCGGAGCGCCGGAATGTTTGCCGGGCGCCATGGAGACGGCGGAGCCCGGGCTCAACAAGCGGCCGCGCGGTTGGCTGGCGGCTGGAGGCCGGGGAGGAGGGCGGAGGCGGAGGGGAGGGCAGAGGGTTGGTGGAGCAAGAGGAAGCTCGGGGAGACGACTAGAAGGAGGAGGCGGGCGGCCCCGGCCCCAGGCCCCTCCCAGGCTCCGAGGCTCCCCGGCTTGCAGGCGGATGGATGGGGCTTGTCCAGGCGGTGGCGGCTGCAGCGAAGGTGGCGGCGGTGGCGGCGGCAGCGGCTGTAAGTGCAGCCTCCATGAACCACCTCCCCTCTCCTCGTCCTTTTTGGGATGAGGGGCTCCCGAGATGTCCTCTGTCCCCTTTCTCTCCCCTTCCCCTCCCCCACCGCGGAGGACCGCCCGGAAGACCCTGAACTTCCGGGGCGGGGCTGCGGCCCGCTTCCCCCCCCCCCCCCCCCCCCCCGGCGGCGGCACGGCCACCGAGGCGCATGCGCAGCTCTCCTCCGCGCCCTCCCATTCCCTCCCCCGCCCGCCCTCGCCCTCCCTCTCCCTCCCAGCCCGTCCCTTTGCTGTGGCGGTGCCCGCGGCTCGCAGGGAATCGGCAGCGGAGTGAGTGTGCCCGACCCCGTTCGCCTCCGCCCCTTGGCGGCCTCCGATCCGGGTCGGGGTGGGGCTAAGCTGACCTCCCCTCTGTGGCTCCGCCTCCTCCCCCAGCAGCTTGGGGTTCGGTCCCAGCCCCGGGGCGGCTCCTGCTCGCACTGCAGCCCTGGTGGTGAGCAGGGAACCTGGGCAGAGCATCTCCTTCCAGAGGGAGCGAGGGAGGGAAGAGAGACTCCAGGAGGCGGGCATTGCTGTGAGGGACCGAGGTCCCCGCAGCCGGTGGAAGGATTCCCGGGGACAGATGCCTCCCCCCTCCTCTGGCCTTGTCCTCCCAGTAAATGGAAAGATCTCTCTGGCCTGTGGCTTCTCTCTGGTCCTCGCTTTGCTGTGTGACCTTGAGCGAGTCACCCACCACCCCTGTCCGGGGCCGCAGTTATCCCTAAAGCTTTCTCTCCAACGCTAAAATTCTTAATTTTGCAGAAAAACTTAGCACTGGCCAGGTCTCCCGAGGCCGCTGAGCCGAGATGATCTGGAGTTGACTGAACCTTCGTTTTCTTCATTCATGGGTGGAATGAGTTGATCTGTTTATTGAGTCGCTTTTATTTTATTTATTTATTTATTTATTTATTTATTTATTTATTTATTTATTTATTTATTTTTTACCATTGGTTACGAATAGTAGGGCTCGAGATTCCTTAATGTTTTCAAAAATTGCCACGGGATCCTTCTCCTCATCCCTGGACATTCTTTAAAAATTAGAGTCTGGGTGAGCGATGAGCTTGTGGTGCCAGGGTCTCTGGTCCAGTTACTACTGAGGCTCTCTTTCCTTTGATCCAGATGGTGTGGTGGCTCGATTCTCCCAGTGCCTGGCTGAGTTACGGACGTGGTTAAGAACCAACTGGTTGAGGTTCAATGCAGACAAGACGGATGTGATGCTGGTAGGCAGGGGGCACACTTGGAGATTAAGGGAGGGAAAATCCAAACTCCCTTAAGTGCTATCAATATATTGTTCTTACATGTTCCAGTGTTGGGAACTGCTGATGGGCCAAGAATGTCGAGTTTGGGTGGAATGAAAATGACATGTCCATAGTTTAAGAACTATAAAAATATCAGTTGCTGATAATCTGATGAAATAGGGCCGCTGGGTAAAAAAACAAACAAACAAAACGCTTTATGTAAACATTATGAAAAGAAACCCCTCACTGATCTTTGGAGAACCAAAAGGTGTGTCTTGGGCTGGCATTAACAATAAAAATCAAACTAACATCCGGATGTTGATGCTGATTGTTGAATAAAAGAGGGGCTTCCAAATGTAATGCATTACTGCTTTGTAACCTGCATCTTGCCTGCTAAAAAAAAAAAAAAAAAGGAAAGGTAAATTCTCAGCCTTTATCTAAAATGTTGTTTTTAAAAATAGATGATTTTTTTAGGTATTTTCAACCAAATTAGTAATTATCCATAAATTTTTTTTACCTGCACATAATGTGTAGGCTGTCACTTTTAAACAAAAATTTTAGGAAATAATTACAAAATCTCCAAAGGCACTCAGGGACTCTGAAAATTATTAGATATAGAATTTGTTTTTAGGGTCTTGAATATGTTGTATTAATCTGTTTCACTCAAACAGCCCCGGTGTCTAAATGGTTACAATTTTTTTTTTGGTGCATTTTGAGAGGTATCTTTTTGAATTGCATAGCAGTTTATACATACGGGTGTATATTACTTATATTTGAATCAGGTATCAGTAATGAAAAAAAGGTTATATTTCTTAGGATGTGTAAACTGCCAAAGAAGTTTACTTATTGGTTATTTTAAAGTATTGGTTGAAGTAAAATTGTGACCTTAAAATGGTTTTGTTAACAACAAAACAACTCTGTGGTTCTTGTGTATGTGTATTATAGCTTCTATAAAATTGTTTTAATAACTTTTTAATGGAGCATTCAGTAAATTGCTTTAAAATAATTTTCCAATAGAATAGCAGTTTTGAATGGCTTAATGTAGTAAAAGCTAATGTTAGTTTCCCTGACAATAGGAAGCCTTTAGGTGGGGAATGAGAGCTAAAGAGGCATTTATTCAGGCTTTGTATAGTGAAGTTTTTGTTTGTTTTGGGACATTAGCCACAGAGCTCACATAAAATTGGAATTAACCACACTTTTTAGTTTAATTTTAAACATAATACTTCAATTAACAGAACTACCATTTTGAATGTTACATTAAAAGATACTGTCAACCATAATATTTTTACGCAACTCATAGATATTGGTGAGTTTTCTCATGCCTTTAACTCTGTCATGTCCTGTTTTCATCTCTTCTAGTATCAGTAGACTTTCAACATTTATTTTTTGTTAACCCAAGTGTAAATATTGACTGTTTGCATTTGAATACAAAGAAGACATCTGTTGTATTAATCCAAAGTGCTGAAGAACTCAGAGTAATGGATGGAAGTAACAAGGAGGTAGATACTGGATTAATAAAAGGAATGTTCCAAAAATTAGCGTTTTATTTTTTAAAAGAGTAGCTTCTTCATGACACAGTGATTCTTTGGAGGTGTAGGCAGAAAAGCCTGGTAATGAGTGGGGAAACATAGAAAGGGATTCCTACCTAGATAGGGGAGAAATATACCAAAGGACCTTTTAGGTCCCATCCAACACTAACATTCTATGGCTAACGAATACTTAATTTTTACATATTTGATATTGAAGAGGTAGGATGAGTTTTGAAAAAAACTTTCCTTAAGGTGGCTCCTAAAATTTGTAAAGATATATCACTAGAATTAAATGGAAGTAGACTGTATTGAATATTGTAGTCACGTCTTACTGATGACTTAAAATACTGGAGCTGTTTCTCTTTACTTTTGGAATCTCTGAACCTAAAAAAAAAAAAAAAAAAAAAAAGAAAAGAAAACCACTGAACCCACCTTTATAAAGACAGGAGGAAGAAAAAGGTAGAGGGAATTTTTTTCCTTTATCCCATAATGCACTTAAAATTAGTAAAATTAATACATAGTATTAATAAACATAAAGGTCACTTGTCAATAAGATAGATATCCATTCAAGTATTTCTCAGACCTCGGTTTTCCTGACCACTTCGGAATTCACTAAGTAGCTTAAGAGGCTGTGATTCCTAGCTTTTTATCAGTTGGGATTTTTGTTGAGGTTTAACTGAATCAAAGATTAAATGGGTCTAAGCAAGCAAATTATTCCTGTACCTTGCATTTTTGACAGTGCTTTAAAATTTTCCTTTTAGTAACCAGCTGCATAAATTTCATATATTAGCTTTCACTTTTAAATGGAAAATCCTCCTTTGTCACCATGGTATTATAAAGCCTGAGTTTCTACCTCAAGGCCCCTCATTATTTTTGCCTTTACCCACCTAAAGTCTATGCATATCCACTGTTCTTTGCCTTTAGTTGTTTCCATCAAACATCTCAAAGTGAAAATTATGTGACTATGACCTGACTTTGAAAAGCCATTTTTATTTTGAATCCTAAGGATTAAGGAAATTCAACAGGGCAAGTAACTTAGAAGCTATATATCTATGCCAACATATTCCCTCCCCCAAGGAATCCTGAAAAACACTTTGATATAAGTATTCTAAAAAATAAAATGAAAATACTGTACCGTACAGTTAATGGTAAAAATTGTTTGTAGATTTGGGAACCTTAAAGTTTTCCTTTCTCTTCTTTCCCTTGCTTTTCTTTCAGTAGAAAATGTGCATCAGATGTTTATGTTTAATTGGTTTACAGACTGTCTATGGACTCTTTTCCTGTCAAATTACCAGGTAATGTCCTTTCACTTAGCAGCTACTTCATATTCCTGTAAATGCACAAATTATTATGGACATAAGAATTTCAAGTTAATGTTTGATCTTTAGAAATAGGAAACTGCTTACAGAGTCTAGAATGTTAAGGGAATACAAATACCTTAAGAAAACAGCCTCCCCCATGTTGCATTGTAAGTTGAGTATTAAAGACAAATTTTTCTATGTGCAACTTTTTGCAATATATTGTAGCACTGGCATTATGTTATTTGAAGGGAATGAGTAATTTTCATATTTAACTGGTTGATTTTGGAAGCCATTTTAAAAACTGCTTTGAAAGGAACCCTTGCACATTTGGGGGAGGTCGGGAAACTTGTCTTTTTGAAATAAGACTTATAAACTCCTGGCTTAGTAAAATATGTGAAAGCACTTTTTGATAATCACGTTTGCATTAGCTAATACGTGCCTAAATAATGGAAGCGAGACATGTCTGTATTTTTCAATCTCTTGGCTCTGGCAATCAGAGTGGGTTGGCATTCTGGCCCAGGACAGTTAGTTCTAGGACAATACATCATAAACTTTTAACTTGCAGGCATTTCAGGCATTGCAAATAAGCAAGTTCTCCCTCCACGCAGTTAAGTCAGAAATCATGTTCACCAAAGAGCGGCTTTTCAATATCTCACGTTAAAAAAAATTTCTGTCCTCTAGTGCAGAATGCAATCGTTTGCACACTTAGCATTGTTACTGGCATCGCAGCAGGTTATGTGAAAAGCAAACGAGATAGGGAGATGGCAGACTTAACACAATCCCTTCTCTTCATCTCTGCCCGTACCGCCAACATTGTGAGATATTGAATTTTTACCTTGCCCATTGCGAATCGACCTAGGGAAGACTATATTTGTCAAGGGATCACTGCTTTAAAGCGCAACATCCGTTTTTCTAGCAAATGCACTTTCAAAAAAAAGGGGGGGGGGCCTGCGCTACGTGTAGAACATAACGTATCTGTTTCCCTGCGGTGTGAATGCCAGCCCAGCCGAGGTGTGCACCCTCCCCTGGCTTGTGCGGTTCCTGGAGGCTCCTCCGGGCTGGAGCGCGGTGGGCGGGTCCGGGCGGCGCCCTCCTCCCTCCACACCCACCTTGGCCCCGCCCCTCCGCGCGGCGGGGGCGAGTTGCGCGGGCCCGCGCGCTGCTCCCCGCGCCCGCGCCCGCGCCCGCGCCCGCTCGCGCTGGCCTTTCCCTCCAGTCCCGCTCGGCGGGGTCGCCGCGAGGGGGCGGAGTGGGGTGGGGTGGGGTGTGGTGGGCGCGCTCGGGCGGCTCGTGGCGCGCGCTCCCGCGGAGGCCGTGGCGGCGGGAGCGGGGAGAGGCGGCCGCGGCGGCGACGGGAGTCCCGTTGCCGAGTCTCACATCCGGGTTCTGGCCGTGACCCAGCCGGCGGCCACCGCGGAGATGTGACCCGTCAGGACGGCAAACATGGCGGAGGTAAGGGAGGCGAGCTCCCCTCCCCGTCCCGGAGCCGGGCGCTCCGGGGGCCCCGGCCGGCCGGGGAGCAGCGGAGTGGGCCCGGCTAGGGGAGGCCCGGCCCTGCCTGCCGGCGCCGCTGCCCACCTGTTGTCCGGAACAGGCCGCGCTCGGGGCGGGAGCTTTTCCGGGAACTTAGTTGGGATGGGTGCGGGGGCGGCGGGCCGAGCGCGGTTGGACTTCGGGGGCAGTTTGGAGGGTCGGGCGCCGCGTAGTCAGTCCTGCGTGCGCGGAGGGCCGGGTGGGCGCCCTCCGGGCCGGGGCCGGGGCCGGGGCCGGGGCAGCTCGGCCGGCCGGCGCTCGGGCCGAGAGGAGCCGCTCTTCCTCCTGCGAAGTTTCTTCCCTCCCCGGCGGCCGAGATGCTGTTGCGCCTCTCGCGTCGCCCCCGCCCGCCGGCAGCTCTGACATCCAGTGGGTGTCGGGGCCTTCGATTAACTGCGGGCTTTGCCGGCGGGGATCGGATGGGCTGGGAGAAAGGAACCTGGCCTTTCCCATCCCGCCGTCTAGGGTGCAAGTCTCCCCACGTCTCCAAACTTCCATCCCCGACCCCAAGGGAGAAAGAGCCGCTTTTTTTTTTTTTTCCCTCGACGTTTCAGCCGAGTTGCTTTCTGCCTTCCCCGGTTTCACTTTCCTGGCAGCCCCCTCCCCCCCCCCCCCCCCC